GATATAGAGGGGGTGATCATCCGGGGTCAATTGTAGCATCAATTGTAGGCATGGCTAAACTGCATCCAACCTCCAACTGAGCTCCAGTTCATCTCGTACATACAACTGCCATGGTGGTTGCAGCCAATTCTCCGGGTCGGGTAATGGAGATGCAACGGGCAAGGAATCGCAGAATATAGCCGCGCAATGATCTTTGGCTGCGGGATTACATTCGATAAAAGGGTTAGAAGCTCGTGAGAACGAGTACATCTTTGTATCAGTCGAAAGATGGCCAGAGCATCTTCTATCTTCTTCTTCCCCCACGTGAAGGCCAGAAATAAAATTAGAGTCGAGAAATGACAACAAGCGCCATGAGCTCCCAGCAACAACTCTTCGTAAACGGCGCATACGTCCCTAGTAGCCATGGCGCCACCTTTCCCGTCTACAATCCCATGACAGGCTCGCATATATACGACTGCGCATCAGCAGGAAAGTCAGACTACGACAACGCGATCCAAGCAGCATCCATTGCCTTTGAGTCTTGGTCGCGCATCGGCCCCACGGCCAAACGCATCATATTCCTTCGCGCGGCGGATATCTTGGAGAAGTATATGGAGACGGAAGCACCGGCGTTGATGTCGGCCGAGGTCTCCGCTACGCCACATTGGACAAAAGTGAATGCCGTATCGGCCGTGGGTATCTTGCGCGAAGCCGCTGGCATCGTGTCACAGATTAAAGGCGAGATTATCCCGACGGATACGGCTGGGACGACGGCTCTGGTGGAGAGACAGCCGCTTGGTGTTGTTTTTGCTATTAGTCCGTGGAACGCTCCGGTATGATGCCGACTTTTCTTATCCGTCACATTTTTCACATACGGGGGTTCAAGTCAAGGGAACAGAATAAAGGGTAATCAAGATAGGGGATGCTCAGCCCATCAACACAAAAAAGAAGTGAAATCAAGAAAGATATTGAACAGGTAATTAGGCAAGCCTAACAGCCCGCGCAATCGCCACCCCCCTAATCTGCGGCAACACCGTAATCCACAAACCCTCGGAATCCTCCCCCAAGAGCCAAAACCTCGTAATCCACGCTCTCCACGAAGCCGGTCTACCACCCGGCTGTCTCAACTACCTCCCCACATCCCCATCTTCCGCCCCATCCCTAGTCGAATACGCCATCAAACACCCCTTAATCCGCCACGTAAACTTCACAGGCAGCGACCGCGTAGGCAGCGACCGCGTAGGCAGCGACCGCGTAGGCCGCACCATCGCCTCCCACGCAGCCACACATCTAAAACGCTGCGTCCTCGAACTAGGCGGTAAAGCACCCGTCATCGTCCTCGATGACTCCGACATCGTCCACGCCGTCGAAGCCGTCGTCTTCGGCGCCATGGCTAATGCCGGACAAGTCTACATGTCGACCGAACGCGTGCTCCTCCACGAATCCATCGCCTCGTCATTCAAAGATCTACTCGTGAGGCGTGTGCGCGCTCTCAAAGTCGGTAATCACGAAGAAGACCCAGATGTTTCCATCTCAGGCCTATTCACACCCGCTTCTACGAAACGCGTGCAAGGTCTTTTGCGCGATGCTGTGGGTGCAGGCGCCAAGATACTCTACGGCGATATCGCGGCTTCATGACCTAATTCGACTATTATGGCGCCGCATGTCGTTGATAAAGTATCGCCTGATATGGAAATCTTTCAAAGGGAAAGTTTCGGCCCGGTCGTCTGCTTGACGACTTTCTCTTCAGACGAGGAGGCGATTAGTCTGGCGAATAATAGCGAATATAGTCTCAGCGCGGCGGTTTTCTCCAAGGACGTCATGCGAGGATTGGATATCGCGCGACGAGTACGCGCGGGCAGTTGTCATGTTAACAATCCTTCTGTGTATTTGGCGAACGGGATGCCCAATGGGGGTGTTGGTGGGAGCTCTGGATATGGGCGCTTTGGTGGCATGGCGGGCGTTTATGAATTTACTGAGCTCAAGGTTATAAGTCTTGGAAGGACGGGCACCAAGTTTGTGTTTTAGATGTGTTTTCTACTAGGAAGGATAACCATGATGACGGTGAGATGGACATATAAGGTAGTTCACTAGAACAAGTTCTTGAATACAGTAACCAGTTCTGCTGATGTAAAACTGGTCCAGTTACAGGGTAAGCGGTCTCGGCGAGCCTACCAGGATGAATTAGGGGGGAGGAAGACTGTTCGACGTGGGTCACATTGGGAGTCAATACACGCTCACAGTTCGGAGGTATCTGTATGTAAAAACTTCCTCTGTATTCCCTTTCGGCTACTTCCTACTCTTTTATTCTATTCTACCTCTAGCGTATAGTTCAGCGAGTTCCCAGCAACACGGGGGAAAAAGTCGAAAGTAAACGTAGTCGCAACACCCGCCGCGATAACAGCATCCACAGTAGCCGCTGTAAGGATCAAGTCATCGCCATCCCAGTTCCACTGCCCCGAGTACGTCGCATAACCGGCCTGTAGGGGTCCGAGGTACTGCGTCCAGTCATCAAACAAGATCACACCGTCCTCTCGCACCATCTTCACGGCCGCAGGCTGCGCGACGCCCGCCCAAGTAACTGGGATGCGCAGGTCGGCGCCCGCGACGGCGGTGGACGAAGACGAGTTGGCTGGTAGCTTTGGCACGTCCCACTGCACCACATTGACACCTGCCGTAGCACCCGCCGAGAAGCCGAGCGTCAGATTGAGTTTACTGCCCGGCTCCGCTGTAGACGAGAGGTGCTTGGAGAGGAAGGACGTGCTAAACGTGATCTCGCCCTCCGATACCGAATAGTCTGTCGATGAACTAAGCTCGGTACCGTCATCCGCCGTGATGGATTTGAGCGTGTTTCCGTTGAGGGAGATGGTAATTGTCTGATCCGTGACCTCGTCCCCAACTTTGTGAAAAATGTACGCCGAACTCGACTGTGAGGTAGCCGAGCCATCCGTGGTAAAGTCTGCGAGACTGTTGCTGATGCCTTCGGCGGCGTTGAGAATGATCTCCAACGAATGCGGGTCCCGCCACGTCTTCGCATCGCGATCAAAGTGGTCGAGCCCATTATCCCACACTATGACGGCGGTGTCGAGCTCCTTTGCTTTTCGGATGACCAAGTCCATGTACTTTCGTCTCGCCGCAGGCTCGGTCGACAGAGGGCTGGCGTCAAATTCGCCCAGAACGAGAGGCACATCCGTGAAATTGCCACGGATGTTCTCCAGGTCGCTTTCAACCGCTGCCAAATCGGCATCGGTTAAAATTGTTTTACCCCTGTTTTACGGTCAGAACATTGATCTTTTCGTAAAGGAGGCGGAAGTAGAGAAAACTCCTCACCAGGCACCAAAAATGAAGTCGTAAGGTGAGTAATAGTGATACTGCAAGGCCCAAGGGTTATCGTAACCCGTGGGTGCCTCAAACCACTGCGACGTCTTGATGCTATCCATATTAGGGCCGACAAGCGTGACTACTCGCTTCGTGTTGAAACCTCCCGAGTCCTTAAGTGCCTTCAGGAACAGGCCGTTGATCTTGTTGAGTTCGGCCGCATCATCCTCGTCATTGACAGGGGGTTCGTTAATCGGCTCGAAGCCGACGGTGGAAGGCTTGCAACCCAGCGTCTCCCCGATCTGGACCCAGGTCTGATACATCCTTTCCTCGATGGCAGTAAGATTTGCGCCTGCTGCAGACACATCTGCCCATTGCCAAGAATCTAGGAGTAGACACCGTCAGCCCTCGCGTTTCTCATGTTCTGTATCACTTGACACTATTCGGTCCTCCTCGCCATGTTCAATTCACATACCGTGGTGAACGTTTGTCAGTACGTAAAGGCCAGCATCGACAGCCATGTCGACCACATCCGACACCCGCTGCAGCCAGTCCGGATCAATCTCCCAGTTAGGAGAAGAGCCCGTGAAGTGGTCGGCATATGTAACTAGACATACCAGCTGTTAGTCTAGTTGTCCCAACACATTGACCAAGTCCCCTTTTCTCGGCGGTCATGTTTTTTCATATCATCATACCAGGAATTCGCACGCTCTTGAAGCCAGCTTTTTTTATATCCGCAAACGTCTCAGCTGTCACCGGAGGATTATTCCACGATCCCTCGTCCGGCGTAGCGTCGAGCGTATTGCCAAGATTCCATCCCGGGTTGATGGCGGCAACGTAGTCCGCTGCTGATATCGCGTCGAACGTGCCGGTGCAATTTACTGCTGCGAGTGCTACACCTAGCAGCCCAGAGGCATGGGCAACTGTCACTAGACTAGTAGACTTCATCTCGTAGATGATACTGAGAAACTTCTACAATAATGCCGTCGGAAGTAATCACTAAGAAAGTATTTAATAGCGGGAGATGCTTGCGTCCATATATATACAAAATGGGCCGTCTTTCCGTGCATGATGCATGTCGTTGTCCGAAGAGTAATTACCTCTGAAGTAATAGAGGAAAGGCCGCCACCGGTAGTGCCACAATAGGTTAGGAAGCTGCGAATGCGAGTTGTTTGGTGGAAATTTAGGCATCGTCTTGAGATTTCACAAGCGATGGCGTGCCTTGATGCACGACGGGATGTAACGTCGAAACCCTGCAGGAAATGTATGCGATCTCGCCCTTGTCTTATAGGATGGTCTCGCTCCGTACCTACAAATAGGTAGGTAGTGTTTTGAGCTGAATAGTCCGCTATCCCGCCTCAGTCTCGGCTCAGAACTCACCGACAAACAGTGGGGACTACTTTTCGGGGTAATCAAATGTTGATTTTTTCACCTAACAATTCCAGTGATATATAATGCGTCAACGCAACGCTGTATTACCCATGCGATCTAAAACGTAAAGTGCACCATTTTCTTCAGCCAAACACATACGTCTTCCGGCCGTTTAAAAAGATTCATATTGCCCTATTGTTACTTTCGACCGGGCGTCAAAACAAATGATTATTCGCCACAGCCGCCTACTTTGTCTGTAGTTGGAGCCGGGGCATTTTCCGCGGAACTCTCTCTAGGATCTATCTAGGTTTCGTATATATAAAAAAGTTTTACTCCGGTACGGGGAATCGAACCCCGAGCCCCGCGGTGTTTTCTCCACGCTAGGTACATGAAAACGCGATATGTTAGCCGTTACACTATACCGGATAGTTGCTGAATCATTGAATCATTATCCTGATTGGATGATAGCAAATCGTTCGGATGCTTTGGCTGATAAAGACGCGATGTGGAGCTTCTTTTAGCCTACGATTTCCCTAGACTACTGTTCAAATGGCCTCTGGCTTGGAAACTAAATGTTTCGGCACCGCTTTTCGCTGCGCAAGGCGAAAGTATCTCTTATAAGCAGAATTAACTCATACTTGGGCGATTACTAAACTGAGCATACGTACGAGTAGATGAGAAAGGCTGATAAGCGGCTTAGCAGCAATGCCACATTTAATGGACTACAGGGTAGGTGCTATGCCCCCTTCTTAAGTAAGTCAAGTATGTGCGCAGGGTTCTTAGGTATAGGTGAAGCTCTCCTGCAACAATATCGGTGGAAGTTAAAATCTCCAGATGGCGACATCATCAGCATAATATGAGTCTCTTCGATCAAAGGCACAGGTTCTGATTATGACACAAAAGTCGTGTCTTTCCAAGAAGTAGAGGTATGTACGCCCACCAGTGTTATTATATATACAAGATTATATGTGTTTCGACAGCCAGCACCATATTGCTTTTAAAACAACTCTTTGTACTCAGGGAGATTCCAGCCCATCACTTTCTCCTTGAGCATCATTCCAGGAAGATTGATATTGAAGAAGGACGCGACCCCAGCAACAAAATAAATCAACCAAACACCAAACGAAGACGTGAACAGCCGGGATTTCCAAGTCGGCCCATCTCCATCTCCCGGAACATCCATTTGTATTTGGTCCATGAACGGTCGAAACTTGGCGTCATAAGAGCCGAGAGCTTTCACAATGTCCTCCGTCGAATTGTCTCCATTCCCACGCCCGAGCTGTCTGCATATCTCGCCAGCAAGGACATAAGCACCCACCACAGCAGAGGTCGTACCCATCCCCGTGTTCGGAGTAGGACACCAAGCGGCGTCACCAACGAGCGCTATGCGACCTTGGAACCAACGATCGAGTTTGACCATTGTCAAACGCTCGAGGTAGAAATCATTCTCCGTGTTCATGGACTTGAGAACGGTTGGAGCCTCCCACCCTACATCGCGAAAGAGTTCCGTCATAGCAGCCTTCTCGGCCTTGACGTCACCTTTAGGGATGTCGTCGAATGCATTGCTGCTGCCACCTATGTATACCTGCCATTTGTCGGGATGCGATCTGCGGATTGCCAGCCCCTTACCGCCGGGCGCGATGTGTGCGGTGGCGAGATATTCCTCGCCTTTCCTCATCGGTTGCGGCATGGTGAAGTATCCGATGAACATGCCCTTGAGTGGGTGGAGTCCCTCGTCGGTATCCGGGCCTAGCATCATTTTTCGTGTGCGTGAATTGACCCCGTCGGCGCCAACGACTAGGTAAATGAATAATTAGCATGTAATCATTTACGGCGCGAACCAAAATATTGAAGAATGTGTGCACAAACAAAACTTACCCAAATCATACGTAGCCGTTTCCCCATCCCTAAACTGCACAGAAACATATCCACCCTCATCAACCAACCTCTCCACAACCATCCCGAAAACAAACTTCGTCCCCTTATCTACCGCAGCATCCTGTAAAACCCGACACATATCCCCCCTCATAATCTCAAACTCCGAAGTAAAACTCTGCACTTCCCCGGCTGGTGCAGCCGGGAAAAAAGCCCTCCTCCTACCTCGCTTATCCACGAGTTGAAGACCCTTTTCAGGCGCGACACGCGCTTCGAATGCTTGTTGCAGATCCATTCGTTTCATGACTTCTAAGCCGGCGCCTCGGAGATCGAGCTGGAGACCTGTGTCGCGTAGGGTGGGATAGCGCTCGACGACGGTTACGTCGTGGCCGGTTTTGGCGAGCCAGAAGGCGAGGGAGTTGCCGGCTATTCCGGCGCCGATTATGAGGATTTTTAGGGGCGCCATGTTTTCAGAGAGGCTTGTGCTGGATGTTTTTTTGTTGGGTGTCGTTGGGAAGGGCGTAGTTGAGGAGGGTGGAAGGAGTCGGCGCTGGTCTTTCTCATGGATTAACTTACTACATCCATGAAACAGAAGGGGGGATATGGTTGAAGCGACATATATAATGATGTCTACTGACATACCACATCTCGCTCTATTGATTGTAAGTTAAAAAGATATCTCCGCAAGTAAAGGGGCTACCCAGCTTCGAAAAAGCCGATACCTCCGAATAGACCGCCAAATCACCGCTGGTGCCTCGGACTTTCGGATCAAGCACCGATATGTTGATCTTGTACTATTACGTTCTGGTAATGTTTAATTAGTTTCATGTCTGTGTCTAGCGCTGCGCTCTCGTTGAACTGTTTCAGTTATTATAATACGCTGACCCTGAAGGTTGGGAATCACTTATTCGCAGGGGGGTATGCTTAGGGTTTCGCGAATAAACATAAACTCTATGGAACACAAGACCGGACAAGTGATGCGCTATGAAGCGATAATGCAAAACGCGGTGAAGATATTCCTATAGGCGGTTCCAGTCTACCTATTACATTATTACACATACCCCATATCCTGAAAGAAGAAATCGGCAACAAAGTTCGCTGCAAAACCATCATCACCTCCAAGTCGAGGCGGCGCGAAGCCAGATTCGTTGTGCGTATTATGAGAACCAAGGCCCAGGGAATTTGCCCTCGCCTCCAGTAATTCTAGCGAAGACGAAAAAGAGTCCCTCGCATGTCTCGCCATGGCAACCTCGCACAAGCCATCACCATCGGCATCTGCGATAGCAAGCACGACAGCGATGAACATGTGACTTTTGATATTCGTCTCACCTTGACGGATGCGTTCCCATGCCATGGTAGATAGACGATCCACGACTTGCCGCAGGAAATCCAAATGTCGCGCGCTCGCGTCCGCGCCCCGACGCCTGTACGTGCCATCCAAGCGACATGTCTCTGCTTCCACTAGCAACCCTAGTGTCACTGTGGCCGCAGCATAACGGAATCCCTCGCGGAACATGCCGCCTCCCCTGGCCATCAGTAGGGCGAAGTGGTCTTCCGGTTCGGGCGACAGGAAAGTGAGCGCGGCGTCGAGTGTCACTTTCCGGGAGAAGTGGAAGAGAGGGTTGGCGCATGCTTCGCTGGCAAAGGGGCAGTGTAGCGGGATCAAGAAGCGGCGGATCATGTAGTCGCATAGGTTGCGCTGGAATGCCGTTACACCAGTCCTAGCGTTGGATTTGCCGAACTTTCTGCATTCTTTGCAGGCCTGGGTGATTTCTGCACTGAGGTCGAGGTCCGAGGACGTCTGAATAGGATTGCTCCGAGTTGAGGCCATTCAGACGCTGGGCTGGCTTGAGACGTATGGGGAGTGAGTCTATGAGTTGGAGTTGCATCGAAGTAGAAGTGTGCTTTTCTCTAGGATGAGCTTGCAACATCGTGGTAGACTCCGATAGCTCATAGTCGTCGACGTTTGAGGGTGGCTCAGTATCAAAGTCATGGAATGATACTCTAGGCGGCATAGCTGAATCTAGGGCGGATTGTACGACCATCTCCAGAATAGTAAACCAGAGCCGTCTACGGACTTCGGCTTCTAGAGTAGACATTGCCAGAAGGTGTTTGGGATCCCGATGCATGCCAATTTGCATGGCTCTATTGATTAGAGAGCCCATGGACACCCATATCAGATCCCCGCCAACCGAGAATATCTGTCGAGCAATCACAGTCAAACAGTTCACTTGCATCCCGGAATATTCAGACGATCCTTTTCGAGAGGTCCCGACAACCATAGCTGGGCTGTATGTATCCAGAGGATGACCATGTGACGCAATTCGCTATCCTGGCTTGCTTCTTCATAGACACTCGAGCCTATCCCAACAACAAGTAGGATCTTGAGTCGTAAGGCCATACTGGCATCCTCTGGGTTGCCCCAAAACATCCGATATTCGGACCAGAAAGTAGGCTCATGAAGTATCTTGTAAATTGGCTCAAAGCACTGAAAGTAGAGCTTTGCCATGGTATCTGCTACCTCGCGCAAAGGCGGCTCAAGTGTAGCCTTTGCAGATGGGAAACACCTGCTCGGCCTACTCGCCTTGAGCTTCTTTGTAACCATCTTGCACTTCTGATAGAGAGTGCCTATATCGCTGAGCAGGTCCTTACCTGTATGTGAAATGGCTTCATTTTCATCGCATACCAACTGAAACCAATTGTACACGGGTGAGAACTTGGGTGTAAACTCACGTCAGTGTTGAATAATTAAAAAAGTAGTTTCATGTTAGGCCAGAGATGCAGGGTATTCGACCTGACATACCTCGGGGGCGCCACCCATCCAGTCACTCCATCTTAGGAGCCTGGTTTTCTTCAGAGTTATGTCCGAATCTCCGAGACCCGCCTGACGTGCGAGTATACTTTGCCCGGTCTCCGAAATGCTACGAAGCGGGTCTGGCTTCGTTGATTCGTCACGGTGCTCCGATCTCTCGGCTGCCTTTCGAATAGTAGCTGCCTCTAAAATACCACCGGTTCCATGTGTATCTCGGGTGCTGACGCGTCCGTTTCCCGTTGGCGGAGTCGCGTGGGTCGGTGCCGACGGCTGTCCCACTCTGGTGGTAGGTATAATTCCGTCCGGGATTTGCGCTCGGCCGAGGTACAGGGGTTCTTCCGAGCTCAACGGCGTCGGATCACTCTCGTCGTTACCTTGTATATCCTCTATGGCTTCTAAGCGATAGCGATATTTTTTCCTGGTGGATAAACAACGGCCGCAAGGACTGGCCCTATCACATTTGACTTTTCGCAACCTGCAGGGAATGCAAGCCAGCGCAGGCCGTCTCCTGCGTCGCAGAGTCTCCTCATTCATTGTTATCAATACTCACACTGAGAGTGCGGGAGGGCTAAGCATTGAATGTAGAAGACATTGGTCAATTTCCGAGGGCAGATCTCAGATGGATAGACAGTTGCGATAGAATATGCCGCCAGCTTCTGGTAAATCACCGAATATGCCGCTTATGCCCGCTTTCACGGCCGAGATTACATCTTACAGCGCCCCTGGCAAACCGCCGAAA